AATTTGGCCTCACCAACATGAGCTGAACCAGACTCCCACTGGCTCAGTGAACGTACTGTTTTTGCTGTATTTCCTCAAATCACTCTGGGGCAAAGACTTTGAATTTCCAATATAAGACTGAAGATCTGTGTGCAGTTGACCTGGAATGGAAAGGAATGGGGTGGAGGGGAAGAGAGTGAGAGAGGCAAAGAGTGCAAAAGCTTTGGCTCAACATTCTCCAACAAATGAAGAAATCTTAGACATCTTAAGCTAAGAATGATGGTAAAATAAACTAACAATCAGATGAAAATTCAGTCCAGATTAAGAAGAAAAAGTACAACAAACTCCAAAGTAATAAAGCAGATTGACAGTTTTAACTATGTAAAAAGAAAATATTTATGACAAAAGCAACTGCCCTGATGGTGGCAGTTATATAGGATTTGATTACTAAAAACTACTCATAGGAACCCAAATGACAATGCTTTCAAATAAATCTATCTATCTATCTATCTATCTATCGATCGATCGATCTATCTATCTATCTATCTATCTATCTATCTATCTATCTATCTTTTTGCAGCCAAATGATACAATATAGCAACAGCATTAAAATCAAGCTATCATAGCTAAAGCCAACCTGGCAGCAAGGGGTCTAGATTGGCCAGGTGCAAACTCCAACTATACTGTGTCTGAAAGGCTGTAACAAGATATCATTATCTCTCAGATCAGCAACCACTGACATGTGTACAAAATATCAAAACCAGGGAGCTCCCAAAAGAGTCTTAGATCGGGTCGCTTCTACCTTGCTGGTCCCCTAGGCATGTTCCATAACAAGCCTCTGTGGCAGAGTTCTTCTAGGGTTTTAATGAGACCACTTTCAAATAATCGGTCTCACTGTTATCAATAAACAATGTGAACAAGCTAGTTTACATTACTCCAAAATTCACCTGGAATCCATGATTACAGAGCAACACTATTAAACAGTTCATTTCATGCCTTGATCAGAGGTCGATGCGTGCAGATAATTCAGCAAAAGAGTTCAGGACAATTCTAGGCCTGCAGGAGTTAATCTTCATACCATAAATAAAGTCAAAAGGCAAATGACAAACTAGGAAAATAAATTACAACTTACATTGTAGATAAAAGGTTAATTTTCCTAACATATAAAGAACTTCTACATATCAATATTGAAAAGACTAATGCCCAATTGCAAAAAAATCAGAGGACATGAACAAATACCTTACAGAAATAAAATCACTCAAACATAAAAAATAAGCATATGAAAAAATATTCAACTTCATTCATGGTAAAGAATATGCATATTGAAACTGCACTGAAATGTCATTTCTCACCAATCATAATGGCTAAGGTCAGAAAGTTTGAGCATACATTGTGTTTGCAAGGCTATTGGCTAACTATTCCCCTCACAGTTGGGCAGTGAATCCTTTCTTGAAGGGGCATCTAAGTATGACATTTTACCATCTACTATAGTAGAACATCTCTGATATAGGATGTTTGCATCCCATCCATAAACTCTTGCTCATGTCTGTAACTCCAGCACTTTGGGAGGCTGAAGCAGGAGGATTACTTGAGGCCAGGTGTTTGAGACCAGCTTAGGCAATTAGCAAGACTTTGTTTCTACAAAAAATAAAATAAAAAAGAGTGATTTTCTTCATACATAAATCAGTCAGTATCCTCCCATCATACCCAGCCACCCATCTAACATCTCTACTCCTTGCTCCTTGCATGCCAGGTATCATTGCGTGTGCTGATCCCGTCACCTGGGATGCAAGAAAATAACAATGCAAATACAAATCAATACAATGAAAATAAAAATTGATACAGTTCACCAAATTCAATACTAATAAAAACACCTTACTTTTAGAAAGTTAAAAAGAAAAAAATAAATATATTCTAAACGAAAGTTACAAGATGGGTAGTATTGAATAGGTGTGTGCCTGTGCAATAGTCTAAGATTCTAATATGGATTGAGATGATAGAAATCTGAATACCTAAAATATATCTACATGTATTTAAAATTCAGCAGCAAAAATCTTTAAATAGCTATATGGGATTAATTTATTTATTTCCTCTTAAAATATTTATTGGATGTTTCCTCAATAAACATGCTAGATATTGTGGGGGAATATCAATGAAAATAAGACAGCAAATCTTTCCTCCAACAGCTTATGATATTATATATAAGGGAAGTAAAATGTGTACATAAATAATATGGAACAGGGGTTGGAAAACTTTTTCTATGAAGGGCCAAAGATGAAATATTTTAGGCTTTGCTAGATATACTGCCTTTGTTGTAACTATCCAACTCAGCATTTATTTAGTTATTTATTTTTAAGACAGAGTCTCACTCTGTTGCCCAGGCTAGAGTGCCGTGTCATCAGCCTAGCTCACAGCAACCTCAAACTCCTGGGCTCAGGCGATCCTCCTGCCTCAGCCTCCCAGGTAGCTGGGACTACAGGCATGCTCCACCATGCCCGCCTAATTACTTTTTACATATTTTAGTTGTCCAGCTAATTTATTTCTATTTTTAGTAGAGACAGGGTCTCGCTGTTGCTCAGGCTGGTCTGGAACTCTTGAGCTCAAATGATCTGCCCGCCTCAGCCTCCCAGAGTGCTAGGATTATAGGCGTGAGCCACCTCGCTTGGCCCTAGCTCAGCTTTTGCAGTGCAAAAGCAGCCACAGGGCAATATGTAAAGAAATGGGTGTGGCTGTGTTCTAATAAAACTTTATTTATAAACCAGTCATGAGCTGCATTTGGCACATGTGCCATAGTTTGCTCATACCTGAAAAATATAAAATAATAATTCCATTTGAGAAATCCATCGAATAGCAGTTTAGAGGAGGGAGAGCTTGCATCTAGTTAACAACAGTGTAAAAGGACTTCATGGGGGAGACGACTTAATCTGGAGCTTTAATGTTAAGTAGAATGTCAGTTTTAGGTTATGGTAAGGAGAAAGGTGAGGGTGAGATGGGAAGGGAACTCTTGGTAGAGAAAACAATGTAAGCAGAAGCACAGTGGAGTTGGTTAGTAAATGAGTGTGTAGTAGCAATTCAGTTTGATTTAAGCATAGTATCATTAAGTGGAATAAAAGGAACATAGGTAGGAAGGAAGATTTGGGCAAGACCAAGAAAGGCTTTATAATTAGTCAAAGGAGACAGCTTGAGTGGGTTGATGGTGAGCCATTGTGTCAGACAGTGGCATTGCCATTTATACCTTAAAAAGTTAATCTAACATTCTGGGGTATCTGAAACTTAAACAACTAAGGGATTCCCTTAAAGAAAAGGGTATAATATTATGAATTTGACATTAGGTATTGGACCTAATGGAAGGGGCCCGTGTAAATGCTGGGCCCTGAAATCTAAGTTTCATTAGCCTCCTGAAAAATCTACCTCTATAGATGGTATTATGTAGGATGGCTACAACAATAGTCTTGGCAAAAGATAACAAGGTATTGATGTGGAAATGGCAGAGGGAATTGGGAAGAACAGACAAATATCAGACTCTATAGAGGTGAAAGTGCAGGGCTTGATGCTGGAGGCAAAGAAGAGGAAGAGACAAAGATGGATCAGAGATTTATAGTCTAAAGGTTACAAGGAGGATGATGATGATACAAATAGAACATGATAAGAACACAAATAGAACACGAAGGGAGTCCAGGTTTTCAAAGGAAATAGATGCAATCAATTTTGACTAGAGTAAGTTTGAGATTGTTTAGGCAAAAGTGTCCAGCAGGTCATTGAGAATGTGACATTAGACCAGGTGCAGTGACTTATGGCTGTAATCCTAGCACTCTGGGAGGCTGAGGCAGGAGGATTGCTTGAGCTCTGGAATTTGAGACCAGCCTGAGCAAGAGTGAAACACCGTCTCTACTAAAAATAGGAAAAATTAGCCAGGTATGGTGCCTACACTCCCAGCTACTCAGGAGGCTAAGGCAGGAGGATTGCTTGAGCCCAGGAGTTTGAGGCTGCAGTGTGTTATGATGACGCCACTGCACTCTAGCTGGGGTGACAGAGCAAGACTGTTTCCAGAAAAAAAAAAAAAAAGTAAAATTAGAGATAGGGAAAGAAGTCTGAATTTGGGAGTCACCTATACCAACATGAGTGTTGTGACAGAATGAGATTATCAAGGGAGAGGAATAAAGAGAGATCAGAAGTCTTTGGATGGAGTGACCTCATTGGGTAAATGTTAAAATGGAAGAATTATGCCTATCGAATTGATACACTGTCTGGATGTTTTTATTTGCTTTTTGGCTGCCAAAATTTTCCATAAATATCCTGTAACTTTAACAGAATATTTAGAATGAAACTACTTTTTATGCTACTTTATTATTCATTAGAAGTTATAGGTATTGTCCTGAAATTTAACACTTAAATTACTTATACTCATGTGGGCTTTACATGCTTATTTCTTTTTTATTTTTTAATTAATTATTTTTTTTATTACTTCATATTATGGGAGTATAAATACACTTATTTCTTAAGATGACATTCATAGTGATTTTTAGTCTCCTTTTATGAAGATACAAAAATTTATGAAGTATATGCCCCCTCCTGTGACAGATAACTTTTAAATCTGTCTTCCTTCCCTAGTATTTATAATTACTCTACCTCAGAAGGGGTCAGACCTCTAGAACTAGAAGGAAAGAAGAACTCTTGAGATGCATGTAATTATAAGTAATAATTATGCTCTTTTACTGTAATTACCGTTCCACTTTAGAGCTTCTGTCTGCCCCTTCATGATTCCTTGTGACACTAACAGGATCTAAGAAGTTTGGTACAAGCTTCTGAAGACAATAGATATACTTTTTGAGAGTGTTTGTTTAATTATGTAGTCTCAAATGGCTGGTACAAAAAACCCAGGATATTCAGGATGTTAGTATCTATCTAATCAGTCACATTTCCTTCTTTAAGACACCTAGTTATAATAAATATCATATTTTTTCTTATTATTGTGTTTTTTTTTTCACACTGTAATATCTTTAATGAAGTACAAATAACTTTTTAACATGTTATTATGTTACATGGAGACCGTTTCACCCGCTGCTCTGTTTGGCTGCCAGTCTCTTATCCCTCTCTTCAGCAATGGTGAGGCGGATACCTTTTCCTCGAGGAAGAGAAATCCATGGTCTGTTGCCTTTGCCAATAACGAAAATGTTGGAGAGGCGAGTGGCAAAGCTGTTGCCATTGGCATCTTTCACGTGAACCACATCAAAAGACCCGGGATGTCTTTCTCTGTTGGTGATCACACCAATTCTCCCCAGGTTAGCGCCTCCAGTCACCATACACAGGTTACCAGTGTCAAACTTGATGAAATCAGTAATCTTGCCAGTCTCCAAATCAATCCGAATGGTGTCATTCACTTTGATGAGTGGATCAGGATAGCGGATGGCACGAGCATCATGAGTCACCAGATGAGGGATTCCTTTTGTGCCCACAAAGGTTTTTCTCACTTTGCACAACTTGTACTTGGCCTCCTCAGGTGTGATACGATGAACAGCAAAGCGACCCTTGGTGTCTCTCCAGTCTTGTCAATGCTGATGACATCCATAAATCCAGCAGGGTAGGTTATATCAGTTCAGACCTTGCCATTGATTTTAATGAAGCGCTGCATGCAGATCTTCTTCACTTCATCTCCTGTCAGGGCATACTTAAGCCTGTTTCTTAGGAAAATGATGAGTGGGAGACACTCTCTCAGCTTGTGGGGACCGGTGGATGGACGAGGAGCAAACACACCGGTCAGCTTATCCAGCATCCAATGCTTTGGAGCTGCTACACGCTTCAGATGCTTCTTGGGACCACAGGCCATGGCTGCGCTAAGCACGGAAAGAGCTATTGTGTTTTTTAAATGTCTTAATTGTTTTTCCCTAATGTCTCCCAATAATACTTTTACTATTTTGAGAAGCATGTTCTCCTTCCCAACATTCTTGGGATTATTGGAAACATGGGAGAAATACCTTCACCACAGAGTTTATTAGAAAAAATACTGTAAAACTGGTTTTCAGCCTGGTTCATTGTCAGAATCATCTGAGAGACCAAAAATACACAGATTTAAATCATCTGCAGCCCTGAACAGTTTATGCCTTGTCTTGGGTTGGTCCTTCTTTTTTTCCTTACATTTGCACTGAGATATTTCATCCATTCTCATGGCAAAATACCATCTATGTTCAGATGATACCAAAATTTATGTCTCTGGTCCAGTTCTTTCACCTGAATCAAATTACATGTTTGGCATTTCCACTTGGATAATTCACTTATACAGTGTGTCTCAAATTTAACGTGTCCTGAACTCTATTTTCTACCCCTCTCAACCTGTTTTGCTCTAAATATTTTCCTTATTAGGGAATAGCCACTGTATATGTGGATATGTAGGAATCACCCTTGATTCTTCCTTTTTCCACACACTATTTCTGCTCTCCACCAATTCATTGGCAGTTTCTGTAGATTTTTTCTAATATATGGCTGGAAGCTGTCCATTTCCACTGCCATCAACATCGTCCAAGCTTCTTGTGTGGACTAATGTACAGTCTCCTAAATTGGACTCTCTGACTCACTCTTGCTTCTCTCATCCTGCAGTGGCTAGTGCATCTCACATTGGATTCACCTGAAAAACAGAAAATACTGACGCTAGGGTCTCTGATCCTTCTGACCTGTGACGCATCACACCTTCACCCACCTTGCTCTACCTTGCTTCTAGGTTCAGCTTCCTCCCTTTCCAAGTTACACCAGTCCATGCAGTGAATCTTGAAAGTGGCTAGGTGCATGTTGTTTGTTGGCTATTTTTCCTCATAGCAATCCCATCTTATCTTTCAATCATGTGTTTGGACTGGGAGAACCCCATTTTCCCAGTCCTGTCCCTGTTCCCACTTTGTGGTTAGGAATATGACCCAGGATTTCGGAATACTCCATCAGCTTTTTTTTCCTCATAGTTTTGGCTGGCGATGTGAGGAGCTGTGAACTGCTGGAGTTGTGAACCTGCCTCATCTCCCCTGACTGCATGAAGTGGGTCATCTCTGGTAGGAGAGCAAGTGACCAATACGTGAGGAAAAGAGAAGCCTTGAGAGACAGATGCTCCATTTGTATTATCTCACTTGATCCTTACAATAGCCCACTAGATTATCTATCTATTATCTATTGTCCCCATTTTACTGATAATAAAAATGAACTCCAGAGAGATTAGCTAATATGCTTACATATTACTACTCAAGTTAGAATACCATTTAGCTATAAGGGAAATACTAGCTCGTGGGCCGGGCGCGGTGGCTCACGCCTATAATCCTAGCACTCTGGGAGGCCGAGGCGGATTGCTCGAGGTCAGGAGTTCAAAACCAGCCTGAGCAAAAGTGAGACCCCGTCTCTACTATAAATAGAAAGGAATTAATCAGCCAACTAATATATATATATAGAAAAAATTAGCCGGGCATGGTGGCGCATGCCTGTAGTCACAGCTACTTGGGAGGCTGAGGCAGGAGGATCGCTTGAGCCCAGGAGTTTGAGATTGCTGAGAGCTAGGCTGATGCCATGGCACTCACTCTAGCCTGGGCAACAAAGTGAGACTCTGTCTCAAAAAAAAAAAAAAAAAAGAAATACTAGCTTGTGAAAATCATTTTCTGAAGTATCTTTATAATATTAATTCTCTCTATGCAAGAATAAGTTTATTATGAATATTCCACATAAGTATGGAAAAACTATGTCATAAGGATGAGTATATAATTATTTATTAACACTGGTGAATCAACAGGACATGTGTTTTATATAAAAGGTTAGTGGTGTTGGTTGTTGGCAAATTTGTTAAATGTCTTGGAATGCTGTTGGCTCTGGTGTATTAAGGTTGGTTGGAATAGTGCTTCTTCAAATTTAGTGTGATTAGGAATCCCCTGGAATCTTATTTAAATGTAGTCTATGATTCAATAGGACTGGGGTGGAGTCTGAAATTCTGCATTTCTGACAAGCTCCCAAGTGATGCCTATGCTGCTGGTTGCTAGACCACTCTTGGAGTAGCAAGGGGTTAGAATATAAGTGACACAAGTTATATTTATTTCACAAATCTCCCTGTAACTTTGTGAAAGATTAGAGCCTAAATTATAATCATATCCAATAGGATAGCACACAAAATTCATTAGTACCTAAAAGAAAAAAAAAAAAAACCCAACATCAGTTTGTGCTCATGTTATTACTTTAAGACTTAGATACCCACTGTACTGTTGATCTTGGGACAGATTAGGGAAAGCTTCTATTAATATAACTCTTTTGGAAATCTGGGTGAGGAGTAAATGCTTACAGAACTTTAAACTGGTGCTGAGGCAGCTTCAGGAGAAACACAAATGATAGAAGTGAAGAATCTGTAGAAGGGAGATACTGCTACCTAAGAAGTTAGTCCCTGACAAATGTCATACTGCGCAAAGTGTCAGAAATAAATGACTCATGCAATTCAAGTTCAGAACCATTCTTGGTAAATAGAAGCCTTAACACTTGCATATTTAAACAATGAGTTCTTTTTTTTTTTTTTTTTCTAAAGAGAGAGTGTTTTATTTCTCTTCCTGTCTATATTTCAACCTGGTTTCCTAAAAAAAAAACCCACAAATTCATTTCGTCAGTTTGTAAATAAGCTAACAGGGCTGGGAAGAATTCAAATTTCTGAAAAGTTGAATACCCTGGAGTCCTTCTGCCAAATATATTATGAGAAAAATATCATGCAGTGCCAGTAGATACATAGCAAAATTGATAAAGTTTAATGTTTATGAGAATTTATAAAAGTGAAGTTTTGAAATAGTTTTACATTGAGAAAGGCCATATTCTTAAAATCAGTAACATTTTTCTTATACCTGGGTAAATGGGACAGTAACTTTTTTTTTTCTTTTTGGAGGGTGCAGAATTATCAGCATGAGGCCCTCAGGTTGGGGAAGAAGGTAGCACAGTGTAATGATTTCGTTGTCTTTTGTGAAATGTGAGGATAATATTTTGTATGAATAGGATTGAAGACAGTTTTGTAGGTTGTAGCAGACATGTAAGCAAAAGGGATTAATTTAAATTTAGCCCAAAGATGGGCTTGCTAGGCATTCCTGAGTTGTTTTCAATATTTTTAAAAGCCTAAAGGAAATTCTGTGGCGATTAGGCAATCAAGGCTTGCTATAGCATCGTGGCTCCTTAATTTTGGCTGATATTAAAGAATTTAAGGAGAAAACACTGGTTATCTGGAGCCAGTTGGAAGTAGTGGTTGGGATTTATATGCCTTTTCTTAAAAATGAGTTAAATAATTAATTATAATATGATGGGCTAAGCCTTTGAAAATATGGAATTGATATGGACTTAGACAATGAAAAGGCTCTTTTGGAAGCTGAGGTGTAGGGGGCTATTATTAAAAATCAAATACATTAACTTTTAGGGAATACCCCTTGAACGAAACCAATGAACATATTTGTAGTTGGTCAGTTAGCAAACATTTAATGAGTATTTTCCATGTGCCAGACACTGGGCTGGGATTTGTGGAAATAGTAATGAACAAGTCATGGCCGGGCATGGTGGCTCACTCCTGTAATCCTAGCACTCTGGGAGGCCGAGGCGGATTACTCGAGGTCAGGAGTTCGAAACCAGCCTGAGCAAGACCCTGTCTCTATTAAAAAGAGAAAGAAATTAATTGACCAACTAAAAACATATATAGAAAAAATTAGCCGGGCATGGTGGCGCATGCCTGTAGTCCCAGCTACTTGGGAGGCTGAGGCAGGAGGATCGCTTGAGCCCAGGAGATTGAGGTTGCTGTGAGCTAGGCTGACGCCACAGCACTCACTCTAGCCTGGGCGACAAAGTGAGACTCTGTCTCAAAAAAACAGAAACAACAAACAAACAAACAAAAAACCAAGTCATGGTCATTGTCCCTATGAATTTTTGAAGAAAAAGGAAACATTAAAGAAATAACGAGCTGTACACAGTGTTACCATGTTATTCTAGAGGCTCTTAGGGGTAAATAAAATGTTAATGCATTTGATTATTTATATATTTAACTTAAGGTATAAAATATTGAAAAGAAACAAACAGACAGTTATTTGGGATTGATACAGGCAGTGAGAGATCCTTAGTGTCCATCTGATTCTCATACCTTGGCTTGGATGTTATCCTACACACATATCCCTGGAGTTTTTTCTTGAGATATATCATCTGTGAGCAACTCTCATAAAAGAGTTGGTTTCAGAAAATTGGTGAAATGAATCACTTTCATCAAAACAGCATTTGTTGCACTTAACTTTTAAATTCTTGACTCAGATATTTTCCTTTTTATGGCCCAGAGTTCAAGCTCAAACTCTTCTGCAATGACCATCTATCTATTTGACTGTTTGCATTTGGTACTTTTGTTTTATGAATCCTGTTTTGATTTACTCGTCTCATGATTTGTTCATGTTAGTTGTCATAGAAAGTCGTAAATGATCTCTTAGTCTCTTTACTCTCTATATACTTTCTTCTACAGCTTTTCAGATGACTCAGCCATTTTTACATTTTTAAATGTTTAAATATTAATATATAATAAAACTTCCAGAAACGCAAAATTTCTTTGATTAAGCAAACGAATTTTCAGAAAAGTAGTCACATCTATTAAATTCTTTTATGTACAGTATTTTAATTTCAGCTTTGTGATACATGTTTGATGTATTGTAGAACTTTGGAGAGTAAGTGTTGTATTTCCTAAACAGCATGATGAGTTCATGGGTTTAGTGGGTTCCTCTACTGTTATTCTTTATGCATTATACATATTTTATTTATTTATTATTTTATGTAACCTTGTAAAAATTTATTTTATTGTGGTAAGAATGCAAATGAGATCTACCTTCTTAA